TCTTTATATTGTTTTCTTTCTATAAACATAGTTAAACTTCATAAAGATTGATACTCCCTCCATTCCACAATGTAGTGCGCCTGCACTTTCCGAGATTCAAGTTTGACCGCAAATTTAACCAATGAGACTGACTGCGGCGGGAGCAAAAGTTATATCGAGGGAGTATAAGATAAAACTAGTATATAGAGTAAATAAAAACGAAGGGAGTAAGACAACTGCTACATGCACTCTCTTAATGGAGCAGTATAATCAGCATGCACCTATAAATGATATATATTCAGAGCTAGAATAACTACTTTTACAAAAACAGTACACACGTAGAAACTCACAAGATGCGCGCACACCCACCTCTATGAACACACGTACAAGCAATTTTCCACCACAAGAAATCTATACGTACATATAAGTTATGATTAATTCAGATGCGTAAACAATATTGAAAGTCAGAATGTCATTATGGTTGTTTGCTATGGCGCCATGGGGCGCTGCCCCTGTTTTCCTAAGAAAATATATTCGGGGTCAGAAGATAGGAGGAGGCAGCAACTGATTGGCACGTTAACCAATAATGACTAATCCATATTGGAAGTCAGAATGTAGAGCCAATCGCCATCGTTTCTTCCCAAACCGTCCATGTCGCCACCCCATTAACTAAGGCTCTCGTCAACGCCTCGTTCGGGGCACGTATATGCTCGGGCCTATGCTGCTAGCTCATCCGTCTGCCAAATCTTCTACCCAAGACAAGGAAACCGGCGGAAATAGCGTGCAAGCCACCTCCGTCACGTGGGCTAGAATTCCTTGTCGACAGAAAGCATTACAAGCTAGCTAGGCAAGAGGCCAGCTGCCATGGTGGTGGGTCGAGACTCGAGATGTTCAAACTCTTGTTCGTTGGGCGGGAATAAACGAAGTTGTTATAAAACCGATTCTTAGCCATGGCCGAGGTGAGGTCCAACGGCAGGAAGCTCTACATTATGCAACTTAAACATGCTAACGTGTAGTGTCAAGAAATGTATTACATGATGGCACGGAGGGAGTAGCTAGGAGCGAGGAAGGAGGAGTTCGTACGCGGTGCCAAAGTGCCAACAACTAACACATACCCATTTTCTTTTCTTGAACAATTGCTTTCTCAAACCATCGGCGGACGGTACTTCCTACAATATCGATATGTACAACCAGGGTTTAATAATAGATCGTGGTGGGGCTGAGGGGGTGTTTGGTTCAGAAGTCCTAGGACTTTTTCTAGTCCCAGGGACTAATCAAAAAAGACTCTCGAGTAGAGTCTTTTTCTAGTCCCTGTAGAAAAAGTCCCTCCCGTTTGGTTCCTAGGGACTTTTTAGAGACTTTTTCTAGTCTATGGGACTAAAAAGTCCCTGAACCAAACACCCCCTGAGTAATTTGACTTAGCCATATATATAATACAACTAGATAATGTACTATAGTGTCAATTTAATATACTCATTTTCTTTAACATAAACGCGCATACACCCTATGAACGCGCACACACACCCTATCCCTATGAGCACCTGCTAAAGACTGAGCCGACATATTATCTTGAGATTGACGGAGTCACCATAGGCGTCTCGTAGTCAAAGAAAACATCTCCTCCCACTAAACGCGCATGCCAGAAATCCTGAAACAATTTTTCTTTTTTTGCAAATAAAATCCTTGAACAAATTTAATATACTTATCAACCATTTGCACAAGTGGTTCCACCGTGAATGCATGTGCAATGCATAATTGAGGTAACTCTGGGTCGCGTGTCCCCCCTGTAGGTTGCTCTCAATAGAACAAAACGTATTTGTTTACTCGAGCTCAAGCATGACGCATTCTTTGGCAACATTAAACACGATGAGGAAGAACCCAACAACATGACGAAGACCGTGCGCGAACGGTGCCGTTCTTGCGTCTAGGACGGTGGGGCGGGGCATACCATGTAGAAGTCGACGTGCAGGGAGGGTGAAGTGGATACATCTAAAATGTAGCGATCCCTTTTGATGTTTAATTCCTACTCCCTCCATTCCAAAATATAATGCGACCGCGTTTCCCGAAGTCCAGCTTTGACCATAAATTTAACCAACTAGACTGACTGCGGCGGGAAAAAATTATATAATTAAAAACTTCTTTTGAATACGAATCCACTGGTATAACTTTTGCTCCCACCGCAGTCGGTCTCGTTGGTTAAATTTATGGTCAAAGTTGAAGCACGGGAATAGAGGAAACACTATATTTGAAACGGAGGGAGAATGTTTTTAATTTTTTTAGACTAGCATACTAATAAAATGCAAGAAGGCATATTTCCCTTTTTGTGGTGGTGCGATTTTGGGAAATTTGTCGGACGCATAAAAAACTTCGAAAAATTCATAGGACAATATTTCCTCGGATCACAAAGGCCTGCAAAATGAGGGATTTTAGGCCCCATAGGGGACATTGCCCGTCCCACGCGTCTTAAGGCTGGGGCGGGTTGGACCCACCTCCACCAATGTCCTTCGATCGGAAACATTGTATATACCCATGTATTCAATTTGCCTACAAGTTTGAGAGGTTTTTTTGCCGCCCCCACATAGAGATATTTGTGATCAGGGCCGAACAGTTCTAGAATGCTCCTTCGGTACTCCGCAAGGGGAAAATTTGTCTCATATCTTCATCATCACTGCCAAATCGCTTCTCGATGAGTTGTGAGTGGTCTACCCCAAAATACTTGCTCTCTCTCTCTCTCTCTCTCTCTCTCTCTCTCTCTCTCTCTCTCCCTCCCCCCCTCTCTCTCTAATGTCTATATATATGAGTTGTCCTAAATGATTATAATCATTTATATAATTCATCCGTTGGATATTTTTGATATGTGACAAACAAAGCACATTAAAATTTATTTTGTAAATGCTAAATTATAGAAAAGTCGGTGGCCATGCTCGCACTTGGAAATTTGTGTGGGGTGATATTTCCATGCTTGGTTTGAGCCCAAGGGATGAGCAGGTACCCAAATCATAACATGTTGGGGACTCTCAAAAATCATTTTTCTACGGTTTAGAAGACAAGAGGCGGAAAACTTTTCCCCTCGGTCCGGTGCCGCTGCGGGTTCCCCTACCCTCCACCGCTTGCTAAGACAATAAGAGGGCGAGGGAATCCCAGGTATGTGTGTCAGATCCATTCTTGTAGGGTCCTCAAGCGTTTGTCCACAACAGTGGTGTCCTGCAAAGGGGATAGTGTTGCGATTTGTTTTTGTTCTCCAGTTCGATCTCCATTCGATGAAGCTTAGCCAAATACAACTTTTTAGGGGAACTTGTGAGATTTGTCTGTTTGTGTCCCGCTCCTCTGTATGGATGGAGTTGGGATTATCCTATGGCCCTTCTCAGTGTTAGTTTCTCATGGATTATCGTTTGGCACATAGATTTTATTGAAAGTATGACTATTGCATGCCTTCTTCCCAGTGGCAAGGTGTCATTCCACACCATGTAACATGGTGTCGAGCCCGAGGGTTCCCCTCTCCTATGCTTGCCTCCTTGGCCGTGTGAGTGTTGAAGAATCCTGAGGCCCTCCATGTCAGATCCTGCTAGATAGGTTGGGGTTAGTGTTCTAGTGGCGAATAAGGTTTCATCGAGTCTGGTGGCACATCAATGGTGGTGGTAGCACTGGCTGGTGAGGTATGATTCTACAAGGTTGGTTGGCGAGACAGAGGTAGTAGCATCCCTTTGTATTCTGGTCATCTAGCCTGGTCCTCCAGCGAGAGCCTCTGAGAAGTTTTGTAGGTTTGAGTCTTGGATATGCGACTCTTCAAGCGGCCGCGGATTTTCCTCCAATGCCATGGTCCGAAAGTACTATGGCCTTGACGACGTCATGCATGCCATCAATAGTGGCATCATGGCTCTGGTTATGGGTTGGAATGCAGCCTTGCGAGAGGAAGACAATGATCTTCTGCCAGGGACCCTGTAATAGTTTATGTATTTTCAGTGCTGTTTGTACTACTAGTTTGGTTAATAGATTAGACCCCCGATAAACCCCGAACATTCAAATTTTAAGCATGGCAACCAGGACGTTTTTCATGGCAACTTTAGTTGACTCGAGGTGGCAACTTTAATGGGTCAACATGGCAATTTTGTCTCAGAAAATTGTCATGTTTACCAACTATACTTGCCACCTCACGTCAACTAATGTTGCCATGAAAAACACTCGGGTTGCCATGCTTAAAATCCGAATGTTCTGGCATTTCCTAATAGATTTGACTACATTTTCCAAACCAAAAGAGACGAGCATACATAAAATTTTCTTTCAGCATTCTTACCCTCAAGTTGTCTATCGCTGCTGTCATCGAGCACTAAGTTCGTTGGCTTCCTCTTACCAATGTGGCATCTGATTAACTGGTCCATTTCACGATAACCCTGCCAAAAGACCTAAATCAATGGATAAGTACTCAGTATAATGATGTGGTGTCCCAGTGTTCGTCGTCCGAAAAATAAATGGGAATGGTGCATTTGTGTAGCAAAGTTGATACTATCACTGAAAAATCTTGATGAAATATCACATTCAGATGAGAAAAATAATACACTATAATTTGCTCTTGCTACATCGGCACTAGCTTTACAAAATGTCATATTATGTTTTAAATAAAATGAACGTTCAGGCAAGATGTCCCAAGTTACTCTTGGCAGTACATGAATGTTCGCCGGAGGCCTAGATTTTATTAAATATTTCGCAGTAAGTCCTAAAAGATTGCATGCATGTTGTTTCCATCTCTTGTAGACGAACAAGACTGTCATGTACTTTATTCACGCGCGCGCAACACACAAAGGGTTTATTAATTGGAGTACTAGAGCCGTGGAGCTTATGGATTAATGAAGTCGCCAACGAACGCTTCCTTGCCGACCGATATGTTGCCTATCATTAAGTGATGCCGTATTATTATGCCCTGATAAGATTAGAATCCTGGCTAAGCAAACATAAAATGACAAATCTGGTTTTGATGGCTCTTCTCTACCGACTCCTAGGTAGGGTATCTCAGTGCGCTCTACATGCATGTGAACTTTGTTGCTAATCATTATATTGACCCCATTCGAAGCTTCGCATCTCCTTACTGGCAGTGTTGTTTCCGCGTGATTTGCTTTGGTATTTCGCTTAAGAATGCACCTGTGTTCAAGCCTGCTACCGGCGGGCAGGTTCATATATAGCTCCATTCCGCCTTCAGCGAGGACAAGGGCCAGATAAGCTTCGTAGGTTTATCTTGGCCTCCTCTTCTCGTTCGTCCTTTTATTATTTCTTTTATGATTTTCGCTTTTTTGTCCATAAAAACGATGATCAATTATAATGGAGTTTGACAAAATGAAACGTGATCTGCTTCAACAGGAACTTAAGCAAGCTGTTTGCGGACCCAAACTTCACCAAGTTATCTCTGGTGGATTCTCGGTTTTCGTTCAGATGGTAAGCAGCCTAGCTCTCTCTATATATATCCGTTGAACAGGCGGCATATACTTTTTCCTTCCCCACTATTCCGGTTGAGTGAAACTTAATCAAGTCTCCAGTTTTGAAATTCCAAGCTTTTTTGCATAAGTTAAATGGCCTTTTCACAATATGATAAAGTTACATGTTAATTTCTCTGATGAATGAAACTTAATTAAGTCTCCAGTTTTGAAATTCCAAGCTTTTTTGAATAAAGTTAAATCTTCTTTCTCAATAGGATAAAGTTGAATGCTAATTTGTCCCTTGGGTGTTTATAAGTCTGTACGCATACATAATTGCACAATAATTGATCATTCTTCAAAAAAGAATCTCGATGGCGACTTTCCATTCAATGTTCTGACTTATTTATTTTATGTAGGCCACTGAACTGATGAACCGTTCCCGTAGCTTGGCCGAAGGAGCTGTGGTCATGGTATGCCCAGTGCTTCTAGCAGTAACTCTTGACAAGGTCGACCTCAAAGTGTATGGGCGCTCTACTTTCTTCGCCATGCTTGCCATGGCAGGTATCACTTTAATAAGTGGTATCTGCCCCTTGCTCGTGTGCTGCTTCTCCAAGAGGTTCCCGAACATGGGTAACATCAAGCCTGCCCCGGTGACCACGATCCTGGTGACCCTTTCATCTTCTTGCCTCCTCATCCTCGCCTGCTTCATCGCGCAGCTCGTTGTCTCCAAACAAGTTCTAATCGTCGTGGGCGCCTTGTGTGGAGCCTTCGTCTTGGCTCGAACGGTCATCTACTACATTGGAGGAGATGGTAAAACACATTCACCGGAGCTGCACAAGGCACCCAATGAATTGCATGAGCATTCATTGAAGAAGCTGCACAAGGTACTCGATGAATCGCATGAGTTCTTGACGGGTGTGACTGCAATCCTCTTTCTGGGGCTCGAAGGTTTGGCACTGGAAGGTCATGAGAATCAGATGGTTCAAAAGGCCGGGCCTGTGGGCACCATCAGCTTCATAGTGTGCGCTCTTGGCGTGTGCATGATGTACCTCGAGATGATCCCCCCTTCACGTTTGAAGGAATTGGGAGGGATTGTGTGTTTTACTCTGACGCTAGACAGCATCATGGCTGGTGGTACCTTCACGGTGTTGATGGTTGTCATGTTTAAGTTCATGGGGCCTCCATCCCTGGTGCTCTTCGCACCCCCGGTATTGATCATCGTCGAACTTGTGTACCAAGTCACCGTTGATGGGAGAACGACCCTTCCCATCATCCACGCCGACGGAGTTAACCCAGCGTCCACACCGGCTTCATTGGAAATGACAAGAGTCACCTTCATTGGGTTCTTGGTTGTGTCGATAACAGCCATCCGCAACCCTTCGCCCAGCATGTTAACCAGTTGTTTCCTACTATTTGCGGCATCGGCTATTGTGTTTGGTCTCTCATGGAGGCTCCTGTCACAGACCCAGATAACGAACCGTCTGGCGCAAAATCATGCTTCACCTGACATTGTTGCTTCCTCTGCCGACCTGGCTTCCTTATGCACACATTTCTGCATTGTAATCACTATGATTCTATTCCTAGCAATGGCCGGGACAGCCAGAGGAAAATGATGCCCAGTAGTAAAGCACTACGTGTGATATTTCCTCTTACAAAATTTGTTAGTTGCACTTGCGCTCATGTGTTATAAGTTCTAACATGTTTGTTCTATATCTATAATATCTGGTTCAGTTCTTCTTGTAAATACATACAATTAGTTGGCTATCATTTAATGGTGTTCCAATCTGTCACATTCGTGTCTGACTTACACTTCTCCAAATTTTTACATGCTTGTTCTTACACCTAGGGTTGCTATATAATCCACGAATGTAAACTAATACATCCCTAAATGTAAGTCTTTTTTGGATGGCCTGCAAGTCAAACTTTCTTAAGTTTGATCAGGCCCCAACACAATTTACTTACAAAAATTAGGAGTATAAACATAATTTACATCCATGTTGCTAATAATGAATTTTGTTTTATTTAAAAAGGGGGTTGGAACTCCAGGCCTCTACATCATTGTCAGGCACACATCCATATTTTATTATAGTTGATGTAAGGCAACGAGGCCAAAAACATCAACAAGCAGAGTACATATATAACATATTCAATCACATTCGAAGCACTACAAGATACGATGCCAGCGATTAAGTCTGATTTCTTCTGCAACAACTCCAAGAAGGAATAAATGCCCTTGCCTCACCGTATCCACGTTCCGATATGACCTAGACAAGGGTTTTCATCCTAGTTGTCGATAACAACCAGTGAACACCGGCACAACAAGATACAAAGCCAACGATTAAGTCTAATTTCTTCTGCAACAACAACTCCAAGAAGGAATAAATGCCCTCGCCTCACCGTATCCATGTTTGGATATGACCTAGACAAGGATTTTCATCCTAGTTATCGATACCAACCAGTGAACACTAGCACAACATGTAGACAACAAGATACGACGCCAACTATTAAGTCTGATTTCTTCCGGAACAACAACTCCAAGAAGGAATAAATGCCCTCGCCTCACTGTATCAACGTTCCGATATGACCTAGACAAGGATTTTGCATCCTAGTTGTCGATACCAACCAGTGAATACCAGCACAACAAGTAGACAACACATTCAACAAGGAGATGATACAAGTTGGTCATTGTTAAGCCCGATCAATAAATGCTAGGACAAGAGTTTTCACCCGGACATGAAACGGTGCTCCCGTCACCATCTTGATGATGGATCTTCCGATAGTCACACCAACCAGTACTCCATGCCGTGTCGGAAAAGGCACTAGTAGATTGGTGGGACGTCTTCCAACCTTAGAATAATGAGTTTTGTGTTAAAAGACCCCAAAGCACTATTTGCAAAAGCTAAAAGACCACAAAGGACTATTTGCAAAAGGTAAAGATCACAAAGATAGACAGAACAAAATATAGCTCATAACAAAGACCACTTAAATCCAAAAAAAAAATACAGTTATGGTAAGGAACTGCTATGAGTACTCCCTTATGCAGCTCCTTAAGTATAGGGACCTTCTAAATATTATGCCACTAGGCAATAGGAAAGAGCAGATGGTTTACAACACATTTCCCCTTTGATATATACTTGTTTTGTCCATCATAATAGCGTTGGCTAGGGAGTAGGCAATTCTTTTAACAAGAGATAGGAGTTCGTTCGGCCTTTTATATTGATAAAGGAGTAAACAGCTCTGAGCAAATGCCATATAGGGTAGTTCCTCCATCGTCAGCCCTCCTCTGTCGTTATATTGCCAGCTACCTGTACCAGCTTCGCCTATGGGGTGTGCAGCATGCATGCACGATAGTACTAGCTATCCATGATACTTTCATTACGAGTAGCCTTAAGGATGCGTACATTTTATTCTTTCCGAATCAGTTGTGTAGGCCATAATTCAGCTGCCTCCATGAATGTATCCATCTACATAAAAAAGCTTCTAAGCGTAGGGAATGACGCACTGGCGTTAGCTGCCCCCATGCATGATGGTTTTCCTAAATTTGCCTGTTTGCTCCAACCTCCAAAAGCACATGTCGTTGTCCCAATGTCTACGGTGACTATATGCATGAGAGCCAATCAACAGATGGTAAAGTATTACTAAATTCAAAATGAAAAAAAAAAGCACAAGACGCGGTTGCTTCTATCAATGTATGACCGAGTAGTTTATATGCACTTTGGACTACCGTGCACGAAATTAAGATGCAAACGCGCAAAATGGACCAAATCAAGGGGAGCACGCGCATTCCTACGGATTACAAACTTGTACTGAATTACGATGATGATTAATTCGACATAGATTAAAAAGGATCACATAGAGGACTTGTCATGCAACTTGCAAACAAATAGCTGAAACTAGGAGATTTAATTTGTGTTTTCATGTTCCTATCATTCATCTTGTGTTCTCTTGGCTCATTCCTTGAATCTTCTCAACAAAAACTATAAAGGAGGAAACAAAAGGACAGCTTGGTTACCCGATCAACGCGGCTCTAGGGCCAACTCACATTTGTTAACTTGTGTTTTCTGGAATTCTACAACCATACTGATAACTCCAAGTGGACCACCGTTTATATCAGAGACTAAGGGTCCGTTCGGTGTCCCTCCTCTCCGCGCCTCCGCTCCCGGAGCGGAGGGAGCTGCGGTTAGAAATTTCAGAGCGGGCGAACGGTGCTCCCCAGCTCCACGTATTTTGAGGAGCTGGTGGATTGCCGAACGGGCCCTAACTGTTTTGAAATTAGAAGCAACGGAATCATCAGGTGCTAGATGAGTACGCCTGAGATGCCAACGATAGAGCTTCGCAGCATGCGTGAGCTTCAAGCGTAGCTGCGTCTGTTACAGCCTGGAAAACAAGTGTAGATACATACCTGAATCATCACAACATATCGCACAAACTGAACCTGACTGGTTGTCCCTGGACAGAGCCCCATCAACATTCAATTTGACAAACTCTTGAGGAGGAGGAATCCATGTCTTCTGTAAGGGTAGCGATGGAAGGCGTAGCTATCGATCAAGATTACTCAGTAGCAGTGGCTATTACAACCATTACAAGGATTCATGGAGTTCTATCTTGCAGTGGCTATGTACATGATGATACGAGGGCTCGTAACATCTTTGCACGTGCTAGTTGCTGCCTTCCCACTCGAAGCTCTGAGGTTTAACTAGGTGTAAAACTTCCAAGTTAGACAAGAACCTAGTCTGATATTCTCCTTCATGTAATAACCAGCACAATCTAGGTGAACCCCGCATGTAAATAATCCCTTATCCCATCTTTTGCATTGCATTCGGTCGTTGTTAGCGTGTCGTTGTACATTCAATTAGGCAATGCATCCATGAGTCAGCGGCTCCACAAATAGCACAATAGGAGGAGGAAACCATGTTCTTTTATTCAGGATATCAGCCGTGGCTAGTGGTGATGAAGGAACTAAATTTTTGTATCACTCATATCCGTTGTAGCCAAAATACACACACGCACGCGCGCCCTCAGAAGGCTAATATGGTCCCGCACAATCTTGCAAGACATACTTTTGATTCGAACACTCCAGTAGTTTGTCCCCCATCTTTTATCTTGCAGGATGTAATAAACGATGTAACCCTTTTGAAGTTTAAATAGCCGTATGGCATCGCCTAGAAAAAACCCAGATAGGTCGAACCAAGATCTGCAAATGACCACATGGTAACCCGCCGACTGTACTCTACAATTTATTTAGGTCAGTGTAGTGAACCAAGTATATATATTTTTTAAAGTACGTTTATGTTTCACTACTTTGGGTCGAAAACGTGGGCCATGCCATGGAGGTGCGTTTCGTGCCCGCAGAGTTGCTGACGAGAAGCATGCTCGAACATCCCTGTCATGGTCATACAAGGGGAGTGTCTGTGTGCAGTGGTGAAGACTGACGTCTGCTAATTGTCATCAATGGTTCACTGTCTCTGCAAATATTTCCTTGCAAGTTCTTTTCTTTCAAAAGAGGTTAGAACCCCCAACCTGCATCATTGTGACATATGTAGCACCACAATGTTTCACATGCGAGAAACAGAAACACGTAGACACAAAGGACAAACCTTATTTTGAAGGGGGGCAGCTCGTCTTACGTAGAGGCGCGCCGCCATCTGATTTGAACTTGCCATCTTGGATCGTTTCCTCAACAGTGAAACTCAATGTCCTCCAAGATGTCTTCAGTTTCATAGAAAGCATTCTTAAGATCGTTGAAGAGCACCTCCAAACAAGACCTATCGGGGAACTTCTCAAATAACTCCACACATGATCGTTGGAAACATAATATAATAGTCAAGTGATCCCTTGCAAGACCTTTTGTAAGATTGTACAACGATTCAGATTTGCGCACGCATCATAATACGACACGTATAAAAGCAAACACGGGAATTAATATATGACATGAATGGTGAAAAGTCATAGCTCCACCGATGAAGCTATTTCAACTAACAGTTGGTGTCAGTTACACGAAGAATAAGTCAATTCATGGATACATTGCATCCACATAATAACAGGAAAATACATAAAACAAGTACCAGTTGGCATGTTTGTCTCACACAGACTCACACTGCAGGCTGTCTTGATAATCTCAATAATCATCCGCATCTGCAACTGTGCACGCCTGAGTCAAGACTCTGCAGTAAACTAACAGCTTAATCAGACACTGCTGGCCAAGATAAAAGCAAAATAAAAATGGTTCTTAAATAAATCTGGACAGATCCCGGTCCAATTTCTGAAACAGGAATCAACCAGTTTACGCACAATTTGTTCCAGATAATGGAATAGGAAGACTAGGAAAAATATATTGCCGAGTTGGACCAGATTGTACATTTGTTTTAGTTTGCACAAGAATTTTGACTGATGGCCGGGTTGTACAAGACTAGGAAAACATATTGCCGAGTTGGACCAGATTTAAGATGTAACATATCAGGGTAACCTACCATGCTATATAACATGTGGCTGACTAATATGGCATATATCTGATTGTCGACTAGAGCAAAAGAAAAATATGTCTAGTATCAAGAGCTAATGACCAGACTTGCATATTATGCAAATTCAGAAATAAAACTGAACTCAACCAAAC